CTGCCAGGGCCTGAGGGCCCCCCCCCCCCCACTCCCCACCAGCCCGTCCCCCGGCAGCCACACGATATAAATGGCGAGGATAAACTCCCGAGTGTTTATGTTCTGCCACTTCTCTGGGCTGCGATGCTTGGCAGGCGGCTCCGACTCGCTGCCAGCTTCTCGCTAGTTTAATTTTTGAGCAAGTTAAAGGGATTGGAAACCACATTCCCGAGCAAGGACGTACGTATGTACACCCATAGGCACATACACTTTTATATATGAATATATAAAACCCTCTAAGACAAATTGCCAGCCATAAACGCTGCCGTGAAACGCTTGCTTTAGTTTACTTGGGGCTAACTGATTTGAGGCTGGAGAAACTTATTGAACCAAACAGCCTGTTTGGGACAGGTGTGAGTTTGTAAATGCATCAACTGCAGTGCAAATCCGCCCCCCCGAGAGAGAAAATCTGTCTGGATATGTGCCCAGGCATCCCAAAAGCTGTGCTCCTCCACGGGCTCCAAGAGCCGGTCCTTGCAATCCATGGCTGGTATCTGCATATTGAACGGGACCGTTGAGCGCATCAGCGACGCCCAAATTCATCTGGCACCCAAACCTCGAGTTAAGCACTGCTTGAAATTTTAGCAGTGGTGGCAGCAGGTCTATTGAAGATAAACTGAGAACTCTACACCAAACATTTACTAGAAGTTTAAGTCAGGAATTGAACATGGGGAGAGAGAAGAGCTGGCAGGAACACGGGTGTTATTTGGGAATATTGACATGAATGGGAGGTCAGCCCACGGTGACCCCGCTGCACCCTGTGCTGCACCCCAGCACCCATGGGTGCTGAGCACCCCAGCTGCCTGCAGTGGGTAAATGATCGGTTATGGTGTGGTTGCTCCATCACCCATCATCCACACCAAGCCTGCAGTCACCAAGAGGTCACCCCGGAGCAGGACGGCTGTCCCCATTCGCATCCTAAAAGCGCATGGGGAGGCTGGACCGGCATTTTGGGAGAGAGAAACAGCCCTGGCTGCAGACACAGGTCTGAACAGCGCTGAGCAAAACCACGCTGTCCTCCCCTGCATGTTTCCATTTCAGATGTTCCTACGGCCCAGTGCTTATCTAGGACTTCATCTTCTGTGCCTTAACATAACTTGGTGTTTGATTTGCTGCCAGCAAAGTGACAGTGCCAAGGCTTGGAAACCATGGAAAAGACGTAATTAAATACCATCTTTGTAACTACAGGCTCATTACACGCCATCAGAGCCCAGCTTTGTCCCAGGAACAACATCTCCTCCTCCCTGCACCAGAGCAGCCTCCCCTGCTTCCACCACAGACGCTTCCCAGGGGACATCTCTTTGATCACACAGATCTGAGAGTTCATACCTGCCCCCGAAGAGCACAGAGAGGAGCTGTGGATGCTCACAGGCGCACAGGGCACGAGGAGCACATCTCCCACTCACCGAAACAGCAGAGCAAGGGCCTTGCATCAGTGCAGCGGGACATTGCACCTCTGATCTACACTGAAACAGAAAGGAAATGTTTCCTAGGAGTCTGTGAGCTCTACACCCGTGGCACTTTATACTCTGCCCTGCTCACACCACAGCTGCAATGTTGTGTCCAGTGCTGGGCCCTCAGCTCCAGAAGGACAGGAACTGCTTGAAAGAGTCCAGCAGGGCCACAAAGTGATGGAGGGAGTGGAGCATCTCCTGCTGAGGAGCGGCTGAGGGAGCTGGGGCTCTGGAGCTTGGAGCAGAGGAGCCTGAGGGGTGCCCTCATTCCTGGGGATCCATTGGGAAAGGGCAGTGTCAGGAGGAAGGAGCCAGGCTCTGCTCTGGGATGGCCAATGGCAGGACAACGGGCAAGGGTCCCCAGCTGGAGCACAGGAGGGTAAAGCAGAAGAGGAGGAGAAACTTTGTGAGTGTGAGGGTTCTGGAGCATGGCCCAGGCTGCCCAGAGAGGTTGTGGAGTGTCCTTGTGTGGAGACACCCAAAGCCCTGGCCGTGTTCCTGTGTGACTGCTCTGGTGATCCTGCTGTGGCAGGGGTTGCACTGGATCAGCTTTGCAGGGCCCTTCCAGCTCCTCACATTCTGGGATTCCACGACTTCCAAACCCATCCCCTGGGCAACGCTTTCCCCTTTGGAGCTGATCAACTGCACAGGCTGGGAGGAGCTCGGATCCACCAAACACCCCTGGGCAGGAGCTCCAGTGCAGGAGGCCTTGCTGTGAAGACAAGACCTCAACAGAGTTATCTTCAGCCAAGATGAGGAAATTCTTTGCTCTCTAAATCTACCCAGTCAAAAGGAGCTTTGCAAACCCTTCCAGGTCTCTACAAAAGAGCAGCCAGGCTTTCAGCTGGGCACTTCCTAACCCAGATGTCCACAAGCGCCTGTCTGCAGCAGGTCCAGCTATGGAGAGCCCTGCTCAGGTCCTGCAGCAAAGCACAGCAGGTAAAGCCGATGTTCAGGCTGATTACATCAAAATTCCTGAAGTTCAGAGACCACAGGTGGGAATTTAAACCCCAGACACAAGCAAAACCCAGGCATAACCCCTTCCATTCTCCTAAATGTGTCATCAAGACCCCTCCAACATCCCCCGGGGAGGAGGAGGACCCCGCAGCTGCAGCACCAGCAGGACCTGGGGAGCTTGGCTCTGGTCCAGACTGAAGTCACAACCATCATCTGCAAAGCTGTGCTCTTTGCAAAAATCAGCTCCTCCTTACAACGCACGGCACTCGTTTGCCTTTCACGGAGCACGGGTGCAACCCTGCCACAGCAGCCACCTCAGCAGCCCAGCCCTGCAGCAGCAGAGACCATCGGAGGTGGCTGCACCGGCCCTGCTGTGCGCTGTGACGGGAACCAGCGACCCGTGGGTGACGTGGGGAGGGTTTCTGAGCATCGCCGCGGTCTTTGTGAAAACCTCAAAGCGGGGCAAGGAACGGCTCTGCAAAAGGAAACGTGCAACCACGTCCACCCTTCTGAGCAAGCGCTGCTGGCGGGACACGCCACGTCAAGCACTCACCCCCGCGTCCGACCTCCAGCAACCTCCCAGGAACTGAGGCTGCTATTTGGGAGCGTGATGGAAACTCCATCCACGCAGCTTCCCGCAGGCACCAACCGCATCCCCCTGCATCCTGGTGGCGGTGGCAGACAGCAGCTTGGCTCCTGTGCCCGGTGCTCAGCTCCCAGGGCCCCCCTCCAGCCAGAACAACCCCATTTCACATCTGTGTTCGGGCAGCTCTGCCTCCGGGCAGGCAGGAGCTCTGCAAACCCGAGCGGGAACACATAGGTGGATATCCATGGGGCTCAGCAGACG